GGCAGCTCGCTAGGCCCTCTACTTATCAGCCCTCTACTTGCCACTCTACAACCAACCAAACAGAGTCTCCTTAATATGCCGCTCTATTTAACCTGCCAGATCTCTCTCTATGCATTGCTTGCTGCTGCTATTGCTGCAGCTACCTCTACGTCGCTGCTGCTTGCCTGCCCCACCACCACCCCAGCTTCCACCCCAGCTTCCACCTGTAGGCTCGGGGGTTAGTTATTTAATCATCACTCATCGTGCTATGTATATCTATGGAGTGATGATGCCCGAGCCTAGTCGCCAAACTCAACTATATGCTGCTTCTAATAAACATGTTAAAGGAACACGTGAGTTGTCTGACTGAACTATAATTGTTTCACATTTCAAGTAATAACAAAAAAAATCATACGTTTTGGTCACATTTGACCCAGACACATTACAAAGTTAATTTAAATGAATACAAAAATAACTGTCAAACCCTGCACAGACCCATAACAAGAGATAAGGGTAACTAACTAACTTTTTATTGAGTTCATGTGTGAAAAGCTTGATTCACATTTGTATGTTGATCCAAACATACTGAGCACACAGGTCGCTACTTTCTGAACGTTAGGGAACTGCTGTTTGTTGACGTCATTCCAAAACTTCTCTGGCCCGTTAGTGCGCTGCTCTTGTGCCATGGTTACGGATGAATGCATGTCAATAAGTCCCAGTGTAAATTTCCCCTCGTCGATGGAGGGGACCATTTCCTTTGCTCTGGTTGATACGTCCCCCTCTATTGCAACAGTGAAGGGGTCTCTGGCAAAGCCCATCACCTCTGTGGGCAGAGCAAGTCCATCCAATCGGCCGGCAAAGTTCTCTTTCAACCTCGCAATGAAATCTGTCATCACATCCGTGATTTGTGCCGGGGATGTGATGTGTTTGTGGAGCGTCGGAAAATGCAGCATCCGACCCGTGCTCAAGTCGGTCGCGAAAAGGTCCAGCTTGACTTGGAATGCGCGCTTCTGCTCCACAAGATCAATGACCGTTTTGTCTCAGTTTACGCTTCAGAGTTGAGAGGGACATGTTTTAGAGTTGCTATCATATGGCCACCGTTACTAGCACCACTAGATGCACTTTCAAAAAACGTGCTGCGTTGTGGTTTGGTGGTTTCTATGCAACGCAGAGTGTTGCGTTCATGGTCTGTACTAGTGTAGGAATTTGGCTACGGGAGGCTGGGCCACTCGGGAGTTGGTTCTGGGCCGCATCTGGCCCGCGGGCCGCCATTTGAATAGGCCTGCCCTAGGAGATGAGTATGTTCAAAGCATAAATATTTCCGCCATGAATTAAAACGTACTCGCAAAAAGGCGGGGCTTATAAAGAAATGCTCATAACTCATCAACAATGTATCCATTCACCACAGATTTTGGTGGAAAGGTTCAGTCTGTCTTGGGAAATAGGCACACCGAATAATTTTCATTTAGAACTATAGGGGGCGCCAAAAACACCACCAATTTATAACTCAAGAGCGGATAGACGAATTTTTTTTTAATTTTTTACACATACTCTCGGGGTGACTACAAACTCAGATTTAAAGTGTCGCAACAAATTCAGAATGTGGGCGTGGCCTATACGTTATTTTAAAATTGCGATAGCATAAAATGAGCTTCGGACGCAAAACTTGGGACACACGTCAGAGCCCAAGACTTTTTCGAGAATGTAAAAAAAAAACCGTACATTTTCAAAAAAACTGCTCACTAGCGCCCCCTATTGTGTGGTAGTCACATATAGTTTCTCAGAACTTCACGAATTTTGGCACAGACATTCCTCATGGAATTGCGGACATATTTGTATATAGATTCCATTAGCCCTGCCCCCCAGGAAGTCGGCCATTTTGAAAGATGTGTGGTTTTCAGCCATTTTAAGCACATTCTTGCAAACTCCTCCTAGCGGAATGATCGGAAAAATTCCAATCCAAGACACGTTCAGCCCCTATGCAATATGTGACCCGCTCTATCGAAATCAGTCGGAAGTCGCAACGGCTCATTTCAAAAATAAATGTGGATTTACGTAAAAAACTATTTTTTCGGGGTTCGGGTGTTTTGTTTGATTTTAAACAAACAAAGTCTTGGCTTTCAGAATATGAAACTTGTATTTCCAAAATCACACGATAAATACATTTTTGAAGCTTGTAAAGGGACGAAGACAGGCACCTCTCACTCGCAATCTGCTCTTCCGCAGCGCCGCCCCCCTCCCTCCGGCTGAAATTATGAATGTAAGAGTATAGTAATCATAGATAACACGGCGGGGTCCGTTACAGTTTGTTTTCATCTGATTTCAATTAAACAAAGTCTTGGCTTTCAGAATATTAAACTTGTTTCGGCAAATTCAGATAATAAATACAACTTTGAAGCTTGTAACGGCATAATTACAAGCGGAGAACGGAGTAACTTAACGTCACTGCAGGCATAACAACAGCCGGTGTTTCTCGTGAGTGTTTTCCCCGGGAAACAAACACAATACACACAAACGCAAAATTACACAAACACACACACACACACACAAACGTATACACACACACTCGCGAGCTTCCCCTCCAAATGAAAATATATTCCCTCCGTAATATTTTGATCATTTGCTCCGCTAATAATCAATCAGATCGATGGATTCCAGAGAAGAGGAAACTTTGAAGGCCTTTTTCTCAAAATGATGACTCGGTGACAGTCATTATATAATGTGACGTATTTCGATTAATATTTGGAGTACAAAAACAATCCTGATATCATTAGAAAGCTATGAATATCCTCTTTCCAACAGTGTATACAACTCAAAATGTGTTTTCGGGTCAATGCGACTGATTTCGATGGAGCAGGTCACATATGATACTTAATTGAGAAGAAAATGTTTGATAGCTCAATCGTGGAGGTTGTAAGCTAACAGCGAATACACCATTTTTGACGATTTACATGTCGCAAATTAGTCCAAACTACTCGGATATAGTTATTCCGATATTCACGAAACACTGTATACACATTGATATTATGATTGCACACATATTTCAAATTGCCTTCCATTAGCCCCGCCCCCCAAAAAGTCGGCCATTTTGAAATATGTGCGTTTTTCAGCCATTTTAAGCACGTTCTTGCGCACTCCTCCTAGGGGAATGATCGGAAAAATTCCAATGCAGGACAGGTATAGCCCCTATCCAATATGATACTTAATTGCGGAGCACATTTTTGAAAAATCACTCGTGGAGGTTGTAAGCTAACAGCGAATACACAATTTTTGACGATTTACATGGCGCAAATTGCTCCAAACTGCTCGCATATAGTTTTTCCGATATTCACGAAACGCTGTATACACATTACTATTATGATTGCACACATATTTCAAATTGCCTTCCATTAGCCCCGCCCCCCAGGAAGTCGGCCATTTTGAAAAATGTGCGTTTTTCATGCATTTTAAGCACATTATTGCAAACTCCTCCTAGGGGAATGATCGGAAAAATTCAAATCCAGCACAAGTTCAGCCCCTATCCAATATGATGCTAAATTGAGAAGAACATTTTTGATAGCTCAATCATGGAGGTCGTAAGCTAACAGCGAATACACCATTTTTTACGATTTACATGTCACAAATGACTCCAAATGACTCCAAACTACTCGCGTATACTTTTTCCAATATTCACGAAACGCTGTATACATATTGCTATTATGATTGCACACATATTTCAAATTGCCTTCCATTAGCCCCGCCCCCCAGAAAGTCGGCCATTTTGACAAATGTGCGTTTCTCATGCATTTTAAGGACATTTCTGCAAACTCCTCATAGGGGAATGATCGAAAAAATTCCAATCCAGGACAAATTCAGCGCATATCCAATGTCATTCTACATTGAGAAGGAATAGTTCTTCGCTCAAACGGGGAGCTCGTAGGCTAACGGAGAATGTACCATTTTTGACCAATTATATGTCAGATAAGCTACTGAGACCTGTCTGTCTGCCTGGCACATCAACACACACACACACACACACACACACACACACACACACACACACACACACACACACACACACACAAACAGACACACACACACACCTACTGTTAGTCCAACAACGCCCTTTGCTGGCGGCATATTCATTACAACAGACACATACACATACACTCCCTAACTCTACTCTTTATTTGTAGATATCTCCTAAAGCCTACAAATAAAGTGTGAAATGTAGGCTTGTTACATTTATTATTGAGCGATATATATTATACACACTGTTCTGCTTTCTGCACTGACCTCAGCAGCTGTTCTCACTGTAAACATTGCGTCACAATGAAAGCAGTTGTATTGAAAAAAACATAGCCTAACATCCAGGGGAGATGTGATTAGTGAGTAAACAAACGGTAAACGGCAGAAAGTCTGATGCACATTTGATCATCTCAAATAGCTTATAATCACAACGGTAACAATTTGCAGAGCTGTGCTTCGTTGACAGAAGTCCAGCCATGCGTCACACCTCTTTTAAACATCACTGTTGGCTGAAATCGTCTCCGGAGAATACTTCAGTGTACCCTCGGTTATAGCTCCTCCAGAGAGACTCCTCTCTCCGCTCTCCTCTACATCTTTGTGTCCTCGGTTACGGCTCCTCCAGACAGCTTCCTCGATAATCGATCCTCGACGTCTGGGACGCGAAAATTATAGAAATGAGAAACGGCTCATTTCCCAGGACTCGCGCGCGTCTACTTAACGCCGGGACGACCGGCTGCCCTCCCCGACAGGCGCACGGACGCGAGGGCCCGCTCATCACTGCGCGCACAAGTGCGACCGCAGTTTTAATTATTATTGGTGTTATTTAATTTGGGTTGTCCCTGATTTGAACTTCTTTACATTTATTTAAGTAACAATTTGGATGCAATTAAGGCTTAAACTTAGAAGTTGAGTATTAGTTTATAGAGCATCACAACTCAGGGGATAACTTTGTCCTCTTCAGGCTCCAGCATATTGGTTAAGCTTAACCTATGTTTTTATGTTTTTACTTTCAGTTTAAACAGGATGGGTCGGACTTGAAAAAGATTGTGAAATGGGGACAGCAGTACCCTTATGCTTTCCCGATGTGGTTTGGTCCCCTTGCTTGTTTCCTCAGCATTCACCATCCAGACTATGTGAAAACTATATTGACATCTACAGGTGTGTGAGCCATTGTTTTATATCTTTACTAGGGATGTAACGATATACCGAATATCGCGGTAAATAAACGTCCCAATACCGTCGTGAGACTGACAAAATCTACCGCGATATTGCCGCAAAAAAACATTTTAAACACTTTTTTTTGTTTTAAACCTTTATTTAACCAGGTGGTCCCATTGAGATCATCGATCTCTTTTTCAAGAGAGACCTGTCCAACATGGCAGCAAGTAGGTTACAACATGAACATAAAACAACAGAACACAAAAGGACATCGTATTTACTACATTTACACACCTAGAGACATTGACAAGTAGGCCTACCAACAGTATATTTATATCTCTGTCAATAAGCCTCACCTTCTGGGCAACAACTGTATTGTTTTTGAAGTGGTGGGTGGAGAGACAATGCACAGTTTGACCCACTGCTGTCACCCATGGCCAAAGCATATCTCTCCGTCCCACTGAGGTGGCGTTAGACTTTTTCGCTGTCCGTCATTTTGACAGACAGGATCGTAAAATGTCCGTCATATCCCTTATTACCCGTCGGGTCTGAACAGTTCACGAGAGAGCACGCTCGTGAACTGTCAACGGGGGGGGGCGGTGTTATGCCGTGTGTGCATGCACCTCGCCGGAGCGTGCACAGCGTAAAACAAAACCTCCCAGACATGTGTTGATCTGTACGGCAAAGTACGGTTTGGAAACTATATCATTTCCTTTTGGAGGGCATGCATAACACGGCATAACACCAGAGCCTCGCTGCGGGGAAACGTTGGCGCTGTTCCGAGTTTATTCTAATCTGTCAAAATGACAGACTGCTTTCAGATTTTTCGGTCATTGTTAAATAAAATATTCGGTTAACGCGACCACTGCTGTCCCCGCAACATCAGTACCAAGCGAGAGAGTTTTTTCCAGAGCAGGGGATATTGTAAATGCCCAAAATTCCCAGTTTATAAATACCTGGAAATGTGGACATTCTCATATTCCTAAAAACCTGTCTGATGATGCTGAGTGAGTGACTAGTGAGTTTGAGTTGAGTTACTTGAAAAACTAAAGTGAAACTTGATTTATTTGTTTGCAGGGTCTGATTATTAAATGTCCTTGTTTATTTGTGAGATGCAGTGGCACAAAGAAAATGCCTACTTTGTTTGGTAGTACTATAGGTACAAAAACACTGGTTTTCTTGTTCCAGTTTGTTACTGTCACTTTGTTTTTGACACTTTAAAATACTGCTATCCTACTAAAATGCTTTTTTTCTTTATTATTCAATATCGCGATAAATACCGTACCGTGGACTTGTTATCGCGATATTATCGTACCGTGAGTTTTTGGTATTGTTACATCCCTAATCTTTACTGAAGTCATAAACCTTAACAATGTAGCCGTTAAGTTAAATTCATCTTTTGACAATGCTTTTTACTACGTCGTATACATGTAGACTCATATTGGTTTATTATCTGCATTTCAATAAACAAAGGTCAATGTAACATAATCTGTAATTGTTTGTTTCATAACAGAGCCAAAAGATAATATGGCATATACTTTTGTTAAGCCTTGGATTGGTAAGATTGCTTTTACTTTCTCCTACAGCATATTTTGGCTTACTGCACAGTATTTCCTGTTAAGCTGCTTGCCTCGCTGACACATACTGCCTCTGTCTTCAGGTGATGGCTTATTGGTGTCTGAAGGTCAGAAGTGGTTTCGCCACAGAAGGCTCTTGACCCCAGGTTTCCATTATGAAGTTTTGAAACCCTACGTAAATATGATGTCAGACTCTGTTAAAACTATGCTGGTACGTTAATGACAGTCTTTTTGTTCATAAAATCAGTGTATGTTTTTTTGCCAAGTTGCATTTCACATATTGTACAAGGAAAATGCTTTTGTGTAAAGTGCTATAATAAGTAGTCAATTGTGAAGTGATGTGGAGGAAATATAGGCTTAGGCTTTCCAGATGCTGCAGCTATTTTGTGTCAAAGTTGTTCCAGCTAAGTTTGTTGAAGGTTTTTCCACGTCCTGCTGAGACCTCACATCTGTTCTTTCACTGTTGCCAGGACAAATGGGAGAGTTATGCAAAAACCAATGAGTCCTTTGAATTGTTTAACCACGTGAGCCTTATGACACTGGACAGCATCATGAAGTGTGCGTTCAGCTACAACAGCAACTGTCAGACCGAGAGGCGAGTCCATACAAATGTTTTCCCGCCATTCACAATTACAGGTTTATGTTCTCAGTTGTCTGAACTGTTTGTCTACGTTCTTATTTCAGCGGAACAAATGAATACATCAAGGCAGTCTATGAGCTCAGTAATTTGATTAATCTGCGGTTCAGGACGTTTCCATACCACAATGACCTCATTTTCTACCTCAGCCCACATGGCTTCAGACTAAGAAAAGCATGCAAGGTGGCTCACAGTCACACAGGTAAGATGTTCACAGATATTACCTTCATCATGACAATCTAAAACTGAATTTAGCTTGCCCATACATCGAAATTGTATAGGCTCTAAACTGTAGGTTTATGGTTGCTGCATTTGAAGAGTTACTGGGGATATGCTCATTCATTATTCTCTTATTTTGAAGGGGAAGTCATACGAAAGAGGAAAGAAGCACTCAAGGAGGAGAACGAGCTGGATCGCGTACAGGGAAAGAGAAACGTGGACTTTCTGGACATCCTTCTCTTAGCGAGAGTATGTTATGTCTTATGTGCCATGTATTGAATTCACAAAATGAGACACTTCTGATCAATGAAAAAAACAACATACGTAAAAACTGCAATTGTCAAAGCAGTAAGCTCTCTATAGAGATAATGAATTAATAATCGTGATCATTTTAGTAATGAGATATTTAAAGCATGAACAGCCTTAAGTTGCCGCACATTAAAAAAGCGTAGTTGTGTCATGTTTATAACCTGAGATGATGCAAATATTATACTGTATGTGCTTAACCTGGAAGGGGCAAAAAACTAGGGCAAAAGTTTTTTCGAAAGAGCATTGATATGCTGAGCATGAGGCCACTGGTCAAAGGCCACTGGTACAAAGGCAACAGTCTGGTTATTTTACTGTTATGAGGGACTCTTGAGCAGCAACGTAAAAGTTATACATTCCTGTAGTGCACATATAATCAATATAATAAGCGAATCAAGGACACCTCTGTAACTCAGTAACTAACATGGCAATGATTCCTTTCTTTCCAAACAGAGTTGATCTGTAAAAGGAGCCAACAGACATTAGCTGTTTCTGTGCCAATTCCAATAGGCCTACAATTTGTACGGTTTTTAATTGGAGTAGTAGTGTCACATTAAGACATATGTTGATTACTCATGTTTTAAGTTTGCCTTTTATTTAAGGATGAGAACAAACAGGGTATGTCAGATGAAGATATACAAGCAGAAGTGGACACCTTCATGTTTGAGGGCCATGACACTACAGCCAGTGCCATGTCCTTCATCCTCTACTCTCTGGCCTGCCACCCAGAGTACCAGAAGATGTGCCGGGATGAGGTCCTTCAAGCCCTGGATGGCAAGGACACCATGGAGTGGTAGGCTTACATTTGAAAACAATGCAAATGTATCTCAGTGCTGCCAATTGTTGAACTAACACTTGTCTGTTTACTTTTTAGGGAGGATCTCAGTAAAATTCCATACACTACAATGTTCATAAAAGAGTCCCTCCGCCTTTACCCTCCGGTACCAGGAATGTCCAGAATCACCACCAAGACCATTACGTTTTTTGATGGAAGAACTTTGCCTGCAGGTTTGGCTTTAATGGTTATTTGCAGATGAATGTGAATAAAACACCATACAGTTGCATGCATCAAACGTGTATACCCTTTGGTAAAGGTTAACTTTTTAGTTAAGGATTAACAGTTATTTTTATTGAGTCAAGCTTGCACAAATGAACCTGTTAACCTTCATGGTTTGAATTATAGCAGCAGGTTTGCAAAATTGTCTCAAACATAATATATGAATTGTTTTCCCCATTACAAATACATTTTTGTTTTGCTCTTATTTGTAGGGAGTCATATTGGAACAAGTGTGTATTCGCTTCACAGGAATGCAACTGTCTGGGAAAACCCTGAAGTAAGTAAAGAAGATCATTCTGTGATCAAATGTGTAAGCTCACATGTGCCCATAAAAGTAAACCTATGATACTTGTACATAAAATGTTTTTAAATAATTTTTTTCATTTTCATGTAATCGTTTATTTGAATAGGGACAATGCACATTAATGAACACTTTAGACAAATAATGCTTCAAGTGTAAATATGCCACATTTTAGCTTTGAGCTAATTTCCATCCATAGTCCCTGACATACAAGATATAAGAACATGACATTTGTAAACATAGCAACACATAAATACATGATATGCAAAAGAGCAAGAGCAGCACACACAAGTATTTACCACATGGCAGTATACTATAGCAGCAACGACATATTAAAGGTGGGGTAGGTAAGTTTGAGAAACCGGCTCGAGATACACTTTTTGTTATATTCCACGGAATGCTCTTAACATCCCGATAGCAATGAATATCTGAAGTGCTTTGACAAGAAATCCATAAAGAAATGTCATCAGTGGAAGCCGTGGTACTGTAAAAAGCACGACCAATCATCTGAGCCGGCCCGGCTAAAATAACTGGATGGCCTACCTGCCTGTCAGCCTTCCATCTGTGCACAAACTGATCTCGTGCCCTCATTGGTCATTGGCGTGTTCGTGTGTGTTGGAGGAGAGGCTCTGTGAGGAAGTGGCAGATTTTTTCCAGTTGTGTATTTTCAAATTCTAGCGCACTCGAGCTGGTTTCTCCAAAATTACCTACCCCACTTTTAAGTGCAAGAGATTGTGATTAATGCCACACTGGTGTTTGTTTTTCCATCTTGTGTCAACCCAGGTCTTTGACCCACTGCGTTTTCTCCCGGAGAATGTTTCCAAGAGGTCTCCTCACGCATTCGTGCCCTTCTCTGCTGGGCCAAGGTTTGTCCTCATATGATACCGTGTGACTAGCTCACTAAAAATATGGCTACAGCTAAGTTTACATTACAATACAATAGCCCTGCAGTAAAAAACACATTTGGCAAACACGAAAGGCTTACTGAAAGGCTGTTGCCATATCTTCTTGTCCAACCTATTCCAATATTATGTAAATCAAAAATATATATATCATTTGGTATTGACTGTTCATCTGATTTACATAACCTTAAGTGCTGTCTTCCTATATGATGTTACTTTAAAGCTTAATTTGTCCCCATATTCCTCTCATTGGTGCTGTTTTTCTCTCTCAGAAACTGCATTGGTCAGAACTTTGCCATGAACGAGCTGAAAGTGTCAACAGCGCTGACACTGAAGAGATACCATCTGATCGAGGACCCGACGCAAACACCACAGATAGTTCCTCGACTGGTGCTTCGTTCACTTAATGGCCTCCACATCAAAATAAAACCTGTAGACCCATGAGTGAAAATGGAAATAACTGTTGAAAAAAACCTGGGAAATAAATGACTCATAAGGGAACTTCTTCTATGATTTGACTCAACTTTTAAACTAACAAATAATCACAAACAGATACTAATGAAGTGATTAACTGTTAAGTATTTTATCAAGTGTCTAATGATTATTTACACTGGAACCTGTGTTAATGAGACATTTATCGCACTTTACATATAAAAGGAAGATGACTTTTGTGATCGTCAAAAGGAAAACCTAAGTAACATTTTTGTTTCACCATTTATAAATGCATCTCAACTGGTTTAGCTAAGCTTTGTACAGAGCACCTTGGCATTATGTAAATGTGTTCATGGAAGTGTTAGTGTGACCTTTAACAGGTCAGAGGCACTCTTATTGACATTGCACCCTTGTGCAACATTTCAGTTGATGTAATGTGGTGTAATCGTTCACATTGAATCATTACGTTTTCAAAATCAGCCATGTATTTTGATTCTTTAACTTTCCCGACTCCTCACGTTAAATATTTTTATAATAAAGCACTTTTTCCATTCCATTCATTCTCTTCAAGAATTCATTGTTATACACATTGGATTCTTTAAATTATTTTATTGTTAATAAATAAAATGTTTTATTTTATGCTTTATTATTTATGGAAAGTAGCTGTCAGTAAAAAAAACAGAGAAAGCTATTCAGGCTTTTAGGGTTACATTTTGGCTTGGTGGAAGACTTGATAGCCATAAGGTGTAAACATTATCTTACGGAGCTTTTAAAATGCGTGTTTTCTTAATGGAATTGGATCGATCAGGCTAAACTAACCTGTAGCTGATCCGTCCACGCTCACAACAACGTCATACAGACATAAATAAAGCAGCGACTGTATTCACCATGACATAGACAGTCTGTGTTTTGTATGTGTTTAACTTTTGTCCCGTTTCTGAACAGATATGAGGAGCTGTGAGCTCTGAGTGTGTGCTAACAGCTAACGGCTGATGTGTTGGGCCAATCACGAAGCGTCATTTCTTGACTGGCAGCAAAAACAACCAATCACAGCAGTGCTTCTCTGGCTGGCTCTGTCCAATCACAAACAAGAAGTGTTCTCCCTAAGGAATACCCTTTCCGTCCAATGTGAAATGCTGTGGCGTTTTGTGAAATGCTGTTGTGTTTTGTGAAATGCTGTTGTGTTTTGTGAAATGCTGTTGTGTTTTGTGAAATGCTGTTGTGTTTTCTGAAATGCTGTAGCGTTTTCTGAAATGCTGTGGCGTTTTGTGAAATGCTGTTGTGTTTTGTGAAATGCTGTGGTGTTTTCTGAAATGCTGTAGTGTCTTGCACTTCAGGGCCACCGTAGATATAGGCCTAAAGTATGAAAACGGTAAGCAGTGCAAGTATAGTATAAAATATATAGATATTAATTTCATGATGATAAACATTGTGGAACAATGATGAAAAATGGGAATGGATGTGGCGACGTAAAACTGACACAAAACAACAACAAACTTTTGCCGAGCCAATTGGAGAGTTTCATCAGCAGCACGGGGTAAAAACCACCAATGAGCGCTCAGCTGGAGTCGTTTCCCATCAAGCATTTCGCTTCCGCAGCCCGTGGAGAGGAACTGCGCCGCCTCGCCGCGCCTCGCTCTCAAGGCAATATGGTCTAGCTGCGGCCGCGGCCAGTACACGGCGGTGTCAGTACCAGATATGTTGAGAAGGGTCTAGCTGCGGCCGCGGCCAGTACACGATGGTACACGATGGTACATGACACGCCAACCTGACACGACACTACGGTGGCTGAGAAGGGTCTAGCTGCGGCCGCGAAAAGTTGTACTTCCAAATATGGTCAGAAGAGAGCACGCCCAACACGTGAGGTTTACAGACAACAAACAACATGGCGCACCGAGTACAGGTACTTAACGTATTGTGGTTTTAGATATAATTTAGGGCCGGGACTCGATTAAAAAAATTAATCTAATTAATTAGAGGCTTTGTAATTAATTAATTGAAATTAATCGCATTTTTAATCACATATAAATATTTGACCTGAGAACAGTGAGAAGCAATTTTTTTCACATGGATTTTAGTATACCATTAGGCGCATTCACACCGCAGTACTTTTCCCACAAAGGTTCATGAGAACTTAGTTCATGAGAACTCTTTGAACCTGGGAGTGGATTAGGCAAATGAAGCCGCTGACGTCACTTCTTCTTCTTCTGCTTTGGGTTTACTGGCAGGCCGCAAACCACTTCACGGCGTATACTGCCGCCCAAAGTCCCCGGCCGGAAGTCCCCGGAGTTGGGGACTGGCTTCAGTAGAAGCTGTTGGGACTCCCAGCAGCTTCTACTGAAGCCTTCCGAGTAAATCGCCAGAACGCCGACACCTCCTCATCTCCACCGCTCCCATGTTTTATTTTGTGTTGCCATAAGTTAGTCTCTCTGCGTTTCTGCGCTGGGCTAATGCTAATAATGCTAATGCGAGGATAATAAAATGGCGGCTTCACAAAACTTTTTGGGAGTTTTACGGGGCGTGGTTTGCAATCCGCCCAGCCAATCAGACATATAGCTCTTTTCTCACAAGAGAGCCGCACGAAAGTCCCTGCTCTCTAGCAGCTCTCTAGCAGGGACTTTTGTGGGGGTAAAAAGGTTCTCATGAACTAATTTGAGTACCGGCTCTTTTTGGTGTGAACGCGATAAAAGAGGCTAACGTCCACGCTAGCTTCCACGCTAGCTGCTATATGTTTTGCATTGAGGTGATACTTGAGGCTTGATGTGCTGCGGTGATATGCGAATTCCTTTTTGCATAATTTGCACACAACCGTGCTCTTATCGACGCTTCCATCCGTCCGTTTTTTTAAACAACATTTCCCACTGTTGTTCACTGTGGTTTGTTGTTGTCTGAAGTCATAAACGTTAGTTTTGGTGCTCCAGTATAATCGGTACGCCTGAAACTCATCCAGTGAGAAACGTTCCGCGGTGCAAAAATAAGTGCGATTAAAATGCGTTAATTTTTTTAACGCGTTAATTTTTGTGTAATTAATTAATCTTAATTAACGCGTTAAAGTCCCGGCCCTAATATAATTACATACTATTTAGGTTCTCGTTTGTTTGTCGATGTGGCTGTTTAGCGCAGTGTAATTGTGTTTATTTTGCTATATATATATTATATATATTATATATCTTAGCTTGACATGCTCGACGTTCAGTTAACTTAGCATATATGCTAACTGAACATGCATGTACTCTAATTTTTACAAGAATCTGATTTTATGTCAGTTTTAAATATTAATTGAAAGTGTCTTTCACATTTGAATGTTTTTTATTTAAAACATGTATTAGCTCCTATACTGTAGACACGTAAATATGTATAATTATTATTTTAAGTGTGGTTTAAAGTTAAATGGTATTATTGGGTAGAGCCAAGTAACCCAGGTGGATGCAATCAGGTAATTAGGACAGAGCCTCTGTTTTTAGATGGGGTTTATGCTGTAGGCCTGACATTTAAACTAGCTGAAGGGCTTTCTGTTCGAACCACAGTGAAATCTAGAGGTTGTTTTGTGCATTAAAGGGTTACCTTCTGAAAGTGAGGAAGTATGACCAGCTTTGTCCCATAGGATTATACAGGCCAGTCCATTGCTGCTTGTTTAAGGAGTTAACTATTTCCAATATTAAAGTCACTTAAATTGTATTCTATTTTATTCACCTATAGACAAACAACACAACACTCCGTGATGGAGCACGCCCAGAGCTCAACAAATTGGACTCGGACACCTTCCAGTGTCCATTTTGTGAAAGGACCGGGTCACACCCAGCCGTCACGTGTACATTATGTCTTGCATGTGCTAATACAATTCTCATTACAGTATGCCTGGTATTTTGCCATGGAGGCCAGCTTTGACTTCAGCATTGTAAGTATTAAGGAAAGAGGTCACATTAAAATGCTATAACAAACTTAATGAAAATGGATGCTCTTTCTTTAGCATGACATGTCTCTCCTGAGAAGGTGGTGGTGTGTTATCCTGGTGGAAAACTTTGGACTGGAAGGGTATGCTGCAGTGCTACAAAAACATTTGAATTTGTAATTGTATTATCAAGAAGATTTGGGGGGAACACCTGGCTCTAAAATTCAACCTTCTGGTGAAGAAAATGTGTCTTAATTGCAGGTATGGAAAGAGGTTTGCTCACTATAGTGAGGAAGGCAGGGCGACCCTTAGCGACAATGTCCCACGTACATTCAGGATCAGTCGTAAAAGGACACATGCAAGCAGCACCATGGTCAGTGTATCGCTCAACGTATCTATGACCCTGTGTGCCTGTTTCAGAATGGGTTACTACTCCTAAAACACATACTACATAGAACTTATGGTACATGCAACATTTGTTTTGTGTGGTACTGTGTCATTCTGAATCGAGCCTGGATCATTTTTGGAGGAGTTAAACCGTGCATGTAAAGCACTGTCAAAATAATGGTTGACTGTCTACAGATGCCCCTGGACACTGATGAGGACCACTCCTATAACAAGAGGCCTTACAGCTTCCTTCCTAAAGAGTCGGTTAGTGAATGGACACATTAAAGTGTACAACCCCTGATGCATGTGATTTTATAATATATATTACATATGCGGCCGCAGCTAGACCATATTGGCCGCGGCCAGTACACGGCGGTACACGATGGTACACGACACGCCCACCTGACACTACGGTGGCTGAGAGGCATGGCAGATGAAAAGCGAATTGACGACAACTACGCCGCCTACGGTGGAGACCGTACATGGCTTGTTATTGTAGCATTTTAAGCAACTAAATTAATAACCTATCCGTTTTAAGCAACTATTAGGCGTTTTAAGCCACTATTAGGCAAATAAATTAATAACCTATCCGTTTTAAGCAACTATTAGGCGTACATGGCATGTTATTGTAGCATTTTAAGCAACTAAATTAATAACCTATCCGTTTTAAGCAACTATTAGGCGTACATGGCATGTTATTGTAGCATTTTAAGCAACTAAATTAATAACCTATCCGTTTTAAGCAACTATTAGGCGTTTTAAGCAACTATTAGGCAAATAAATTAATAACCTATCCGTTTTAAGCAACTATTAGGCAAATAAATTAATAACCTATCCGTTTTAAGCAACTATTAGGCAAATAAATTAATAACCTATCCGTTTTAAGCAACTATTAGGCGTTTTAAGCAACTAAATTAATAACCTATCCGTTTTAAGCAACTATTAGGCAAATAAATTAATAACCTATCCGTTTGAGAACCCCTTGGAACCCCTTATCCCATTTTGATGGTTGACATCTCATTTGAACAGTGAAAGCCAGAATATTGTAAAAATGCTTACCAATGATGTATTAATAATGGGATATATATAGCGCCTTTCATGAGACCCAAGGTCCCTTTAAAAAGAAGAACAGGAGTAGAAACAAACATAACAAAAGGCAGTCAGACAAAACAACAAATAGATTTGGGGCCAAAGGCCTTGGCAGACAGATGGGACTTGAGGGCCCTTTTGAAGGCATCAAGCGTGGGGATGTTGCAGATCTCCGCAGGGAGAGCGTT